ACCACAATTTCATCTACTTGGATTCACAAATCACTCTTGGTACCAGCAGTAAGGAAATGTGTAGCATTGGATAAGTCTGCTTTAAGGGACCTCTCCATTGAAGAGCAATGATGTCGGTTTAAAGACTAAGGTGTTCCCGACTCAAGCCATGGTTTTTCCAGTCACCTGCTGTGCTGACAGCTAGACAAGGAATAAGTGTGACAGAAGAATTGATGCCTTTGAGCTGTGCTGTTGGAGAATACTGAATTTCCCATGGACAGCCGAAAGAACAAGCAGATATATCTTTGCGAAAGCGACCAGAGTGCTCCTTGGAGGCAGGGATGCATCATCTCACATCCTTTGAGCATGTTGTTAGAAGAGGCCTTTCTTTGTTTTGGGGGTTGTTTTTTCTCTTTTTTCCCTTTTTTTAATTATTATTACTCATTTTAATGACAACTTACAGAGACTTTGGATTTCCGTTCATTTCTTGTTGCACTTTTCTCCCTGCCCACATCTCCCCCCAGCTCACTCTTCTCTTTGAAAAGTAAAAAAAAAAAACCAACTTTCATTTTTTACAATCCCTCCCAAGTCCACTCCACTATGCAGCATTTGGACTCCTGTCATGACAATAATACCTAGTCATATATCCCTTTTAAACAGTTCTCTCTCCCTCATCTGTGAAGAGGTCTTTCTTTGTAAGAACGTCGTGCTCAGAAAGATGAAGGGTCAGTGAAAGAGAGGAAGGCCCTTAATAAGACGGCTTCATACAGTGACTGCAGCAATGAGCTCAAGTGTGTGTGGGATGATAAGAACGGCCCACGAGAGGAGAGGGTTCAGATCTGTTCTTCATGGGGTCACTCGGAGTCGTAACAACTCAGTGGCACCTAACAACAATACAATTCTATGTAGGCTAAGAATCAGTGCCACTATTTTTATGTGTGCTGGTGGCATAATAGGTAGCTCTCTTTGCATCCTCGATAGAAAGTGACTATTATTGTTGTTAGGTTCTGTCGAGCTGAGTACAGCCCATAGCGATTCTGTGAACAGCAGATCTGAACCCTGCCCTCTCCCAGGCTGCCCTCTCTCTGCCGGATGCAGTAGAGCCCATTGCGTCAGTCACTGTGTCCGTCCACCCGGTTGACAGTCCTCTTCTCTTTTGCCGACTCTGCCTTTTCGAGCATCATGTCCCTCTCCAAGTAATAGAATGGCTACATTAGCCCAAAGTGAGTCGACCCCGCAGCTACGCCGAGGGGCAAAGATGAGTAGCCTCCTCTCCTGGGATCACAGCCGCTGAGAACCTGCCGGAGGACCCACTGGGAGCTGGTTCTGACTCAGCACCGAGTGTGTGTTAGGAGGTCGCATCACGATGAAGCGCTCCGAGCCAGCAGCTTAGCCATTTGAGTCTCCCCTGTGGCTTGACGGGAAAGGACTTGGCACGCTCCTTCTGTACACTGTAGCCATAAAACCCACGGGGAAGTTGTGCCTTGACATACAGAGCTGCCAGGAGTAGACATCAACTTGAAGACACCAAGAAGAAGAGCAGAGCTTCTGGGTACCTCATGCTGTGATAACTGTAAAGAGAACAGACATGAGCAGCAGGAGGCCCACCGGTGATCAACACCTGGCATTAAGTCCCTCAGTGACCTTGAACTAGATGCCTAACCTCATCTTTGGAATTAAGGTCAATGATGAATCCTAGAACTCTGCTGACACCCGGACACTGAGTTTTGCTCATTTTTCTCACATACTTTCCAGCTGTTTATTCATTCAATTAATATTTATAAAGCACATAGCACCATGCTCGATACCCAGAATAAACCAATTAAGCAAAGGAAGAGACGTGTTCTGTGAACTTTCTGTTCAGTCTTATTGATGGGTGAAGGACAAAAAAAAAGAGGACCAAAAATCTTACCAAGAAACCCACAAAGCACAGTAATTTAGAGATGAGTAAATTACATGGTGTGTTAGATGGTAATAGGTTTTGTGGGGGACAGAAGTGAGAAAGGAGAAGGAAGAGTGGAGTGCTGGAGGACAGGGTACCGCCCTCTTCTTTAAGAAAACAGCATGTGAGCAAAGACGTTGTGGATGGGAGGGAGGGAGCCAGCTGACGCTGGCCAATGCTGCAGGCGGTGAAGGAGCGAGAGCAGATCCAATCACAGAATCATCCCCTGAATCTTAGCATTTCTACTGAGGAGGACCTGAAGTGTTTGCTGCAGAAGGTCAAGGACCTAGGGGTATTGAACACCATAAAAATTCTCCTTGTCTGCATTGTATTAGTTAAACTATATGAAATTTCTGGGTTTACACATTAAAAAGAGCTGAGTATATATATACCAGATAACCTAGTCCACTAGGATATATCCTGTTGTTGTTGTTGCTGTTGTTATGTGCTGTCAAGTCACTGTGACTCACAGCGACCCTATGTACAATAGCTCTGAACCCTGCTTTATCCTGAGCCAATCTCCCTGTCTCTGACACACCTACCCCCATTACCCCAATTACTGTATCAATCCATCTCATCAAGGGTTTTCCTTTTCTGCTCTGTCCCTCCACGCTCCCAAGCATGATGTCCTTCTCCAAGGATTGGTCCCTTCTGGCAGCATTCCCAAAGTATGTGAGATGGAGCTTCAGAATCCTTGCCTCCAAGGAGCAGTCTTGTTTTACTCTCTCCAGGATGAACCTGTTTGTTCTCTTAGCAGTCCATGGTATATTCAATACTCTTCTCCAGCACCACCACAACTCACAAGTCATCAATTCTTCTTCTTTTATCCTTAGTCATTGTCCAGCTTTCTGATGCATAGCAAGTAATTACTAAGACCATGGCCTGGATCAGGCACACCTTAGTCTCCAGACTGACATTGTTGCTCTATTCCTATATCCTGCTCTGGTTAATTCCTAAAAAAAAAAAAAGCATATGCATTTGTCTGTAAGAATTTTTGTAACAGCTTGACTCATAATAACCTAAGCTGGTGACAACCCAGCTGTCTGTCCTTCAACAGGTAAATGGAAAATCAGTGGCCTAATTTATGAACTTTGAGAAATGATAGTTATAGGAAGGCTTCAGGTCTTTTGTTCAGAAGGTCATTATGAGTTGTGCTTGAATTGATGACAGTCAACAAAAACAAATCCATATAGTAAAACACGACACAGTAGCATAGAAGGAATGAAGTATTGGAGACAAGGATTTTGAAGCTTCATTTCACATACTTTGGGCACGTGGCCAGGAGGGACCGACTTGGAGAAGGAAATCGTGCTTGGAAGGGTGGAAGGCCAGCACCTGAAGACCCTGGATGGAGTGGATTGACACAGTGACTGTGGTAATGCGGGCAGACATGTCAGAGAGAGTGAGATTGGCTCAAAATCACGCCGAGTTCTGCACGACTGTTCTTAGGTCGCTATAGTTTGTAGTCAAGTCCAAGGTGGTGACAACAACTGATAAGAGAGCTCTGTGAGAAGGAGCTGCACTGCTATCTGTCTCAAAGGCAGGTGGTCCAAATCCATGTGCTGCTCCGTGGGAGAAAGATGAGCACTCTTCCCCTAGGCTCTAAAAACCCAGAGCCTCAGCTATGAGTCAGGTCTCAAAGGTACATAACAGCAACGAGTACTGAAAACTGCTACCACACTGATGGATTCAAAACAGTCCATTAAATATAAGAAGCCAGGCACAAAGGACCATTTCTGTACATTTAAAAGGTGTTAACTAACACATAGTAATAGGAAGGAGGTCATTGGTTGCCTATGAATGGGAGTAGGTGTGGAAATCAGAAGGGTCTAGAAGGAATTGTTGATGGTCAGGTGAGATCTCTTGTAATTTCATGTTACTACAAGTGGATTGGAGGAAGATTCATCAGCAGTCTGCGTTATGCAGGTGACACAACCCTGCTTGCAGAAACTGAGGAGGACCTGAAGCACTTGCTGCAGAAGGTCAAGGACTGCAGCATTCAGTATAGATTGAGACTCAACATCAAGAAGACAAAGATTCTCACCATTGGACCGATTGGCAGCATCGTGATGGATGGTGAAGAGATTGAGATTGTTGACAGCTTCATTTTGCTTGGCTCCACAGTCAACACTCTTGGCACCAGCAGCCAGGAAATTAAAAGACGAATTGCATTGAGAAAATCTGCTCTCAGAGACCACTCCAAGGTACTGAGGAGCAACGATGTCAGTCTGGAGACTAAGGTGCACCTGATATAGGCCATAGTCTTTGCAATCACTTGCCATGCATCAGAGAGCTGGACAATGACTACGGATGATAGAAGGAGAGTTGATGCCCTTGAGCTTCTGTGCTAGAGAAGAGTATTGAATATACCATGGACTGCTAGGAGAACAAACAGGTTCATCCTAGAGAGGGTGAAACCAGGCTTCTCCTTAGAGACAAAGATTCTGAAGCTTCATCTGACATACTTTGGACATGTTGCAAGGAGGGACCAGTCTTTGGAGAGGGACGTCATGCTTGGGAGGGTGAAGGGACAGTGCAGGAGAGGAAGACCCTTGATGAGATGGATTAATTGATTCAGTGACTGGGGTAATGGGAGTAGGTGTATTGGAGAAAATAATATTGGTACACAATAGAGCAGGGTTTAGGGCTGTTGTACATAGGGTTGCTATGAGTCACAGGCAACTCAGCAGCACATAACAACAACAATGCAAATTGTTATTAAATGGCAATTAGACCTCTATAAAGGTGTGGGAAAAAAGAAACCTCACTTGATTTGCAGGAATTTCATGTGGTCCAGGTCATAAATTAAAATGACTGATTAACTAAAAATACCTTTTATTCCCATTTCATACATTTACTGTGAGCTTGCCATATATATGCCCGGCTCTGTGAAAAGTAACTGTCAGTGGAAAGTGATTAAGACACTTGCTGCTTTTAAAGCTTACTGGGGGAACTAGGTTTGTCAACCGGCAGCCGAATGGCTTCCCCACAGGCAGATATAAAGCAGTTACCAGGTTTAATTGAGTCGCTTTTTGTTGATTGAATTTATGCACGTGTCTGTGCCTTTCTTCTGTTTCAGAGTGACCTGTGGTCTCTGGGAATCACGGCCATTGAGATGGCAGAAGGCGCACCCCGTAAGTACAGCTCCCTTCCTCGGGGTGAAGTCTGTTGCAGGGTCTGACCTGCTGCTCCTCCGGGTTCCTGGCCGGGAGCTGGGGTTGCTTTCCTTCTGCTATGCTGAGCCCTGCACGCCTCCTGGCTGGCGTGCTTAGAAAGCAGAGTCACCTTAAATCAACCAGGAATCCATTCATCTCTCAGTGCTACGGAGCTCTTCTTGTAAAGGAGAAGAAAGAAAGATAACAAAAGGCAGAGTTTGGGTCTACAGATTCAACATCTGATTTCTTCTCAAGGGCTCCCACTTGCCTAACAGAAAAACCAGGAGTGGCCCAAAAAGAGAGTCAGACAGCTTTAGGAGAATCCTAAAGCCAGTTTTCAATCCCTGGATAATCATTCCTGTGCTTAATTAGGGTCTTAGTATTAAAACCCTGCTTTTTAGATTTTTAGATTTCCTGCTGATATCTAAGGCAGAATGGCCAGGGCCTGGGCAACGTTGAAAGCCTTTTCATCTTCTCTCGACCTGGCGTGGCAGTGTGTCCCCACCTGCCCTGTGGTGGCTGGAAGGATGTGAGTCACAGATTCCTACTACAGGAACCATGATGACTTCGGACCTTTCTAAAATGACCCCAAAATGTGCCACTCTAGTTAATGACGCTGGATGGCGGAGACTTCCCTCGGAGACCATGATTTGTTTGTGGGCAGCTTTGACTCAAGCAATCTTCTGGCTTTGCCAGGCCTTCATTAAGATCTGAACCATGTAAAGTACTTCCTGTGCCCTAGTTCCCTCTCTCTTCCGAGTCAGGCAAAACTCACAGGCTTATAGTTCTCCCAGCCCTCCCTGGCCCTTACCTTTCATGCATGAATTTTCCTCAAGAAAATCCTTACATTTTTAATGTCACCTTTGAGTTTCTCAGAGTCCAGACTCTCAGTTTTGCAAAACAAGCATTGTAGCTGTTTTCTTGCAAGTTATCCTAGCCACGTTCTTTCTCAATCTAGAGTTGTTTGGACACATCTGTAGCATGATTGACATGACCATTTGTTAACAAGATTCCTCTCCTCCAAAATGTGAAGAGGAAAAATAATATACTACAATTTCAAACTCATGTTATCATTCCTGACTGAGTGATAGGCTGAGCGAAAAAGAAAACGTCTACCCACAGAATCCTCTCATTTTAGGGGAAATAGATATTATTTTTCTAGGTACAAAGAAAAAAATATTTTCAGATGTTTGAGAAGTAAACTAATGAAATATTATTATTAAAATAACAATGTTGGATCCCTTCACGATAAGCAATAGTGCCATATGTGTGTCACAATATTTTTATATTTGCTTTTCTGCTGTATTCTATTCAGCTTAACCTCCTGCTCCTCCTGGTACCAGGGAGCAAAACCCCTTCCATTTGTGGAAATCTGAAGTTCCTTGTTTATAATCCCCATTCAGATTATCTAGAAATACAGAGAAAGTGGCATTTCCATCTGGTGCTTTAGACTCTAAAAGTCAACACTGAATTTGGATGGGCCAATTTAGGAGATTGAAGCATGGGTTATCAAATGCCTTTTCTTAAGATTGCTATGTTGACACTGTTAAATTTGGACCTCACAGTCACATGCAGCCAGAATAGCTGTGCTGACCTTTTGAGTTAAGCCCTTGAGATATTCATTGAGGACTAATCCTTAGAAGTCTTAACAGTCTTGATTTGAAATCTGTTACCTGCTATGAGACCCTTAATTAGACATCAGCGTTGTTAAGTGTGCATCAGATTCTGAAGCTTCAACTCCAGTTGCTGAGACGTGGCTGGATGTGGGAGGCATCTTGGTAACTTGTCTGCTCAGCCAGGATAGGTCTGGTTCAGGTGAGGCCTCCTCCGCCACGCTGACCCCTGTTTTGGTCTCTTCCAGCCCTCTGTGACATGCACCCTATGAGAGCCCTCTTCCTCATCCCCCGGAACCCAGCACCTCGCCTGAAGTCCAAGAAGTGGTGAGTTCAGCATGGAGCTTTTCGCGGCACTAAGGGTGGCTTTTCTTAATGACTTCTCTTTTGGATTAACTCACATTCTCAGGTGCTGCCCTCAAAACTGGCGCTGTATAGATGGAAAGACTTGAGGGCTGTCTGTGTTTTCACTGTGAAGTCTGAGTACCTACAATCGGGTACCTATATCATGCACACCCTCCTTAGACCGCTTGTGACTCCATTTCTGGGTGCAGTTCGTGGACAGAGAGACGAAGAAGGCACATGGACCCTTTACCCCTTTTTTATACCATTTCATGGTCAGTCCCTTGCCTGAAACTTCTTGTGGCTCCCACCCATCGACAGATTAACCCTTCTCCATATACCAAATACTTATTAATACTAGTTTTCTAATGAGCTCTGGTGGCCTAGTAGGTATACTGCCAACCCGAAGGATGCACTTAGAATCTGCCTCCTTAAGAAGATGAGCAGTATCCTCCCATGTGATGTAAAGTCTCCAAAAAGCTCCTGGAGGGTCAGCTGTGAGCCCATTCTGACCTGACAGCACACAACAACGTCAAATGTCATGTAGGAATACTGTTGCGGTCATTGTGGTTAAGCGGTGGAAGTCTCTCATTCGACCGAGGAAAGCAAGTTAGGTTCTTGGCTGGTGTATTTTGTGCACAGACACTACCCTTCTCTCAGTGGAGGTTTGCGTGTTCCTGTGATGCTTCCACAGAACTTCCAGGACGAGATAGCCTGGGAAGAAAGGCCTGGAAACCTTCCAAAATGCAGCCAGTGAAACCACGAAGGATGACAGCAGTCTAACCCTCAGTCTGTCATGGGGCAGGAACAGGACCAGCTGCTGCTGATTCGGTGGAAGTGGGTCCCTGTGAGCCGGGGTCCCACTTGACAGCAGCCCACAGCAGCAGTAAAGACCTAGCAAGTCCGGTGAACCGAGAGAAAGGCAAACTGCACAGAGAGGGGCCTGAAAAGAGGCGACGACAGCCTTGAAACTGCCAGGCCAAGGAAGGGAGAGAGGGAGAGTTGCTATTGGTAACAAGAGAGGGAAGCATTCCCTGCCCCTCCTTCCTTTTGGAGGGTCACTGTGGGTGGGAGGATCCCTGTCTCCCCAGCAACAGCCTCCCATTGGACACCAGGCGACACGTGATCCGCGCAGCGCCCAGAGGCTGAGCTGCCTCCCTTCTCCCCAGAGCCCACTCCCGGGAGGCTTCAGCTCAGTCCTCGCCCCTGGCAGCATCTAGCCCTCTGCTAGCTTTCTGCTTCCTCCCAGCGGAACCTGCTTTATCCACCCTGCTCCCTGCCTGCCAGCCCCCTCGTCCCCTTCTCTACTGATGGACAGATGCTTTGTCACAGAAAGGGACCAACTGTCCATGCTCACGTGTGTGCTTTACCAGGCGTCCACACATACGATTCGAACAATCGTTACCTTCGTTGCTTACGTTTAAAAACCTGACTGAGCTTTACGATTCTGTTGCTAGCATTTATTGAAAGGATGCAGCAATTCCCTGCTAATCTGGGGCAAGATGTATCTGCCTCCCCCAGTGAGCTGGATTCCCCACATCAGGCATCACAGGGTCCCTCTCACTCGTGCCTGCCTCCTCTCAAACCTGGTCAGCATGCACAGCCACTGTCCAAAAAAAAAAGATCACTTCTGTGCTGACCGTGTGTGAGAAGTACGGGCCTGGAGAACATCCAGGCTGACTTTATTTCAGACCGTCAACGGTGGGAACTCACTGCGACCACATGGTTGGGAGGTCGTAAGTCAGAAAGCAACGCAGAAGCTGGACAGCTTGATCTTACCTCCTTAGTACGTGCTTTTCCTGATCGGGAGGAAATCCAGTCTGGAGAATTGGCTTTCATCCAGTCGCACAGGAAAAGGGACGCAGTGTGGCTACTTGAGAATGAGTGGACTCAGCAGAAGCCCTGTCGTTGTTATTGTTAGTTGCCATCAGGTCAGCTCCGTGACCCCCACATACATAGAACATAAGGAAATCCCTCCCTCCCTCTTAGTCTCTGCCACGCACAGCCCATGCGTCAGTCTGTCTTGTTGAAGGTCTTTCTCTCCCTCACTGACCTCTACTTTTCCAAACGTGAATTCTTGCCACTTCATCCGGAGTGCCACCTTCATAAAGTCAGCTGGGCGGCATCAACAATATGACGCCTGACTTGGTTGCCACATCTCTGCTGTATTGTTGCTGGTAGATGCCATCGAGTCAGCTACAGCATAGAGTGACCTTCTGAACCACAGGTCTGCGCTTTGTCCCATCTGTGCCAGCCTCAACAATTTCAGTATAGCTCGAGCCCCTTGTGACGGTCCCTGTGTCAGTTGATCTTGTGGAGGTCTCTGAGAAGATAATAACCTCAGGTGACTGAGAGGAAACAGCAGATTTCTGTAATGCCCAGTGATCCCACTCTGCTTTCACATCACCGCCAGCAAATGACTCGCAGGCCTGTGACTCCAGTTTCTACACCTGCCCCTCATCTGCGCTTGGATTGACTCACAAACATTAGCTATCTCGTCCAAGAGATTCCCTTCCCTTCCCTTCCCTTCCCTTCCCTTCCCTTCCCTTC